AACCATCATCTTCTCACTGTCCATAGGTAGAGAAACCATCATCTTCTCACTGTCCATAGGTAGAGAAAATCCTCCTATACAGTATATTTCTCAGTTGGTTTAAGACAGCTAAAGTTTCTTTCTGTTGCTTATAGTTGCAAGTTCTTAATCCTTGTTTTTGGCTTCAGTTTGCCGCCTGCAGCCGGGCGGCCACGCGCAGGCCTGGGAGGCCACATGCTGACCCGGTGGCCACACGCCAGCCCTGAGCGCGGGAATGTGCCGGGGACCCAGCGCCACCTCCCTTTTGCCCGGGCTGGCCAGAGAAAGGAAGGACGGCAACCTTGGCTGGTCCGCGCTTCCGGCCTGCATCGGCGCAGAGCGTGGGACACACCCAGTGCCAGAGAGGCAGCGGGGACCCGGGCAGCCCTGGCTGCGGAACGCGGAGCAGAGCGCCTGCCGTGCAGGCTGGCCCCTTTCCAATTAACTTTTTGAAGATGCCATATATATTTGCATTTAGGTCCCATGAAAATTTGTGTAAGAAATGTTGGAAAAAAAAGTGAAAGGATTGAAAGTGAAAACAAAATGAGCGAGAATGCCATTTTTCAAATCAAAGTCAGAGAACATGTAGGCTATACAGAGTGGTGTGGAATGGATTCATCAAGGTTGATGAATGGAGACTCTTAAATTTGGAAGGAAGCTCTTTGACTCAGAGATTTATGGACAGTTTCAATGAATAACGAGGAGGATATTTAAGGTGTAGTTAGGGAAAAGGAATTTAGAGGTGAAGATTAAGCCATAAGTTAAACTTCTTTTGACTCTTTTTTTTTTTTTTTTTTTTTTGCTATAGGGTGCATACGCTCGCTGGAAAGACAGAGAGAGACAGGGAGACAGAAAGAGAGAAATCAACCCCCAGGGGAGGTGGCTATGCCTCAATCCCTTCTCTTCCATTCTCCTCTTGGGATCTTGGGCACAAATGCACATACGCCCAGCATGAGTTTAAGCCACCGGGTCTGGGACTCAAACCGTGGTCCACCACATGGGAGTTCAGTGACATAGCCATTATGCTAACTGCTGGTCTCAACTTCTTTTGACTCTTAAAAGTATATTTTAGCGTTAGCTAATATGTGTGCCAGTGTTTTAATATGGATATTTCAGTGAATGGCCAGCAGGGGAATGGAGCAGGTTTAGGAATGTGTGCTGGTTATGGTAGGGTGTCGTTTTTTGTAAAGGCAGTTCTAACTGGGATCTAATTCCAGAAAACTATTATGAAGACAACTGTTATGTGTGACTTAGTGTTTGACTCATTTAACTTTATGAATGGTTCCTCTTTTTTTATTAATTTTTAAAAATTTTACTATATGGCATGTACACTCACCAGAAATAGTGAGGGAGAGAGAGAGAAAAAGAGAGGAAGTGAGAGCAAGAACAAGAAAGTGCCCCTTAGGAGGGAAGACCACACTGCAATCCCTTCTCAATTCTTCTCTTGGGATTTTGGTCATACATGTATGCACATTTACCCAGTGTGTATCTCATGCCATGGGTTTCAAGACTCTAACCACATAGTCGGCCATGTTGGATCCAGCTGTCTTAGTCACCATGATACCAGCTGGTCCTTTTTCTTGTGCATCTTGTGCAGCTGGAATTGTTTTCAACTTTAGAAATGAATTACTGGTGCCAGCAGTCGCCGTGGTGGTTAAGGCACTGGACGCCAAAATGGCTGACTGTGGTTCAAGTCCTAGACCTGGTGGATTGCTTTCTCACTTTCTCTCTCTCTCTCTCTCTCTTTCTTTCTGTCTCTCTCTGGTGAGTACATGTGCCCTGTGGCAAATTAGAATAATAATAATAATAAATAAAATAAAATAAATAATAGTTAAAGAAAAAGGAGAAAAATATTACCCTTATCCATGATTCTAAAAGTTATAGTTATGTTCCGAACATTATTAGTTATTCTCAGTTGGATTGCTTTACCCCCAGAGGACACTTGCTGGTAACTAGAGATATGGGTTGTCCCAACTTGGGGCAAGGAGTCTAGTGGGTAGAAGCTGGAGCTAAACACCCTACAGTGCGGCCCCAGAGCCAAAGAATTATTTGGTCCACATGTGAGTGTGCCAGAGTTGAGCACTGCTGGATTAAGTATTTCCCATCTTTTCAAAAGAATATCCCTTCATTTTCTAATTTAAATTTGAGATATAACCCCAAGATAAACTTCCTTTTGACTCTTCAAAGTGTATTTTAGGGCTGTTATAATCTACTCAGTAAGAAACAGGAGGACATCCAGACATGGCCAAATTTATTGGAGTTTATTGATTAAGTCGGTGGCATGGTGGGGAGGGGGGCTCATGTCTTTCAAAGCCCCACACCCCCGAGTGCAGGGTGAAGGGTGCTTATAAAGGCAAAAAACATGCACAATCATGCCCGGTATGATGTGATGATTCACAAGGGTAAGCTGCGGTGGGTTTGAATGGGGGAAAAGGGTAAGGGGTAGGATTTTACAGCTATAAAAGCAAAGCAAGCAAAAGTGCATCACAGAAGCAGAAAAAGCAGAAAAAAAGCAGGTTAATCATCCCTAAGGGTATGTCCTGTCTCTACCTAAATGTAATGGAATCTTAATAGTCTTTATGGCTCCAGGCAAGGTCTGGTGACTGGACCTTATCTTAAGGCAACTAGGAGAAGTAGGG